TAGAGGGGATTGTAGGGGGAATGACAGGAGACTGGGAATTGGAAAGGAACAGAGTGTCAGCCAGGTGCATCAGATTTTGGTAGTAAATCTGAAAAACCACAACAGTTACAAGTCTCATTGTAATTTCTTATCTCCTCTCTTAAAAATCGTAAACTTGGGCTGTAGGGTAGGACATTAGGCAAGGAAGAAGACCATTTGGGGTCTTGTACAAATTTCTGAACATTAAGTGGAAATATTTCATTTAGGAGATTAAATCCTGCTTAGTGTGACTGAGATTCAAGTAGTTGCTTCCACTTTCTTTGTAGAGCTGCAGTTTTGCAAGAGATAGGAGAGTTGTGTAAACAAAGTGAGTTCTTGAGAGTTTTGAAAAAATGGAACATTCAGAAGTTTTGGATTTGTTTTGCCAATTTTATTCGAGTTTATATTACAAAGAGAAATGTCTTATATCCATTTGATTTTAAAATATAAGCACATAAGTCTTGAATAGTATAAATTGCCCTGTTTTAAATGTTTTTATTGTAAGAACTCATTACCTATAAAAAGCTGTGGGCTTTTATGCCCTTGTTCCTATAATTACTTCAATATAGCCTTACTAATCTTACCTTTGGGCAAATTTTGAAACCAGAAAAGAAAAAAAGAATGGATATAAAAAAGAAGAAACTCTTTGGGGACCTCAAATATTTAGTATGTCTCTCATTTTAAATGATGGATATTATGCTTGCAAGATTAAATGTATATTATCAATCCACTCATCTCAACCCCTCATCTTACTTTAGGTAATTCATATTTTTAGGGTACAGTCATATAGCAATACATTATTTACTGAAAAGTAAGCTTTGTATATTACATTGGGGTGTGGTTATAGAGCTGCACCACTTTAGATGTCTTTGACCTTTTTTTAAAGTGTAAATGCCACTTTAATTACCCTCAGCTTTCACTAGCTGGCTATATTCCAACCGTTCTCATTTTGGAATTCTTATACATAGAACTTTTCTCTGCACTATGCTGATTTCAGAATTAATTTGCAAATATATTTATTACTTTTGCTATATATTGTTTAGCAACTAGAAAGCACTACATATTTAGAGGTAGATTTTAGAAAGTACACAAAGAAATAGAAAGGCACCCGTTTTTATTTAGAAAACCTTAAATGCATTCACAGAACTTTCATGAGTTATGATGCAAATTAAAAACACTGTATTTTCTTTTTTAAAATGATTCCTGTTGAACTCTTTAAGATTTATTTTATGAATGGGTGCCCTATCTGCATGTGTGCCTGTGCGCCAGAAGAGGGCGTCAGATGGTTGTGATAATAGATGGTTGTGAGCCACCATACTGGTGCTAGGAATTGAACTCAGGAACTCTGAAAAAACAGTCAGTGCTCTTCACCTCTGAGCTATCTTTCCATCTCATATACTGTATTTTCATGTCCGAAGTGACTTTCATCTTTTGAGACTTGTTATATTGTTTATAATTCAAGGAGAAGGAAATTTCCATTTCATTAGTATTAGCTATAAGGAGTGGAGAGTTTTTAAGGATATGAATAACTGTAATATTTTCTTATTTGAATGTGTATATATTTTTAATTTCCCTTTCTCTCTACCCATTAAAGATTCCAGTGCTGAATATTCAAATGAAAATTTTTCCTGCACTTTGTACTGTGGCAGGGACCATATTTTCCTGTACAAATTACTTCCGTGTAATCTTCACAGGTGGTGTTGGCAAAAATGGATCAACCATAGCAGTGAGTATACTTTGAGATTTTCAGAGAGTTGCAAACTAAGACTTGTTCTATTACTTTACTTTGGTTTTCATTTAAATGATATATAATCATTTGTCAACTTGGAACTTTTAAGCCTTTGAAATAAATATTTATACATACTTCTGTATCCTGATAAGCGTTCATGTATCTGGACACAGCACCCATGGTTTTGGAAAATATGACATGCTGTATAAAAAGAAGTGACACCCACCAAGCACAGTGCTGTTTGAGCTTTACCACACCTCATGCAGCGGCTTCTCACTAGTCCTGAGTCCAACTTATTGTGGTTGTTAGCGGGCAGATACCGGGAGGTTCTGGGAAGGTTGGGTTAAAGTGTTTGTGGTAGGTCCATGAAGCATCTGACAGCATTAAATGTTTGTAACTCCGCTCTGTACAGGGAACAAGTGTCCTTTCTCCTTTTCTCCATATTGGATCGGTGATCACCTTAGCTGTTATGATCTACAAGAAGTCAGCAGTTCAGCTCTTTGAAAAGCACCCATGTCTTTATATACTGACATTTGGTTTTGTGTCAGCTAAAATCACTAATAAGCTTGTGGTAAGCACCTCAGTTTTTACTGTTTTAATGTTCATGTTATTTTGGTTTTGTGGGCCTGTATTTCATTTTGTGGCTTCCTGAGTAGTTTTAAGAGTTTGCAGTAAAAATCACTTTACATCAAAGAATAGCTGTGTTCACTCTCCTGACTACATTTTGAGTTTGCCTGACGTTCTTTAAAGTTCTATATCCTTTCACTATCTTGTCCAGTTTTTAATTTGGTCAGCCGGTTTGTGTGCATTCTTCAGTGTCATCCTGGACACACATTGAGACCCCTTTGCCTTTTGTACAAGTGTTTTCCTCCAGCATGGTTGGCATTGCTTTTCCCTTTCTCATACAACTTTAATGTTGTTGGGATTTTCTTTTTGTAGTTTTACAAGCTCAACATTCTTGAATATCATTCTTGAAACTTCGTCTTTGAGCACTATACTGATTTCCTGTGTTGCTGACAATTCCGAAATGAAAGTGCCTATGTCATTGACTTTGTTTTCCCAGGTTGCACACATGACGAAAAGTGAGATGCATCTGCACGACACAGCATTCATAGGTCCAGCACTTTTGTTTCTGGACCAGTATTTTAACAGCTTCATTGATGAATATATTGTACTTTGGATTGCCCTGGTAGGTATTATATGGTCTTATTTTGTGGCTTGAAGCTACTTGTTTTCTTGTTTGAGTGAGCCAGTCCTTTGTAATGTGTTAAGAGTTCTTTATGACTTCAATGTTAGCCTGCATGTTTGTTAGGCTTACTATTCCTGCCTATGTGAAGACTCAACAATTCCAAACTTCTGATTGTTTGTATACCAGAAGTTTAGACTATATTCAGGCATAGCGACTCGTTTATAAATTGTTTGTGCCTGCTTTCATTCTATACTGGCAGAGTTGAGCAATTGTGAGAGAGAGTACAACTCAGAAAATGTGAAATAATTTTGTTGAGTATATAGCTTAGGGGTCAAGTTCTTGCCTAGCATGCATGAAGCCTTGCATTTGCCCCCCAGCACCATATTTAAAAAATCAGGCATGGTGGCATTGCCTGTGAGCCCAGCACTTGGGAATTGGAAGCCAGAGGATTGGAAGCTGAAGATCTTTTTTAGCTACATACTTAGTTTGAGGCTAGCCTAGGCTGTGGGAGCTTCTGTCTCAAAAAATAAATAATACAAAGTTTAACATATTTACCATCTCTCTAAGGAAAGATTTGTTAATCCTTAGTTCTAAAGGACACCAAGAGGCAACTATTACTCAACTGTATGAATTCGAAGATGAATTTGGGGAGAAGAGAGTCAGAAGCCACCCTTCTATCCTCTCAGGAAGTTAGGGAGGTCTGTGCACATGTTGAGAGTCTAATCAAATATCTCTTCTCTTTTTAGGTCTTCTCTTTCTTTGATTTGATTCGTTACTGTGTCAGTGTTTGCAATCAGATTGCATCTCACCTGCATATACATGTCTTCAGAATTAAAGCCTCTGCAGCTCACACTAATCATCACTAACGATGTGACTGGGGTTCTGTTAAGCTCATGTTTTCTGCAGGAAAGAATCCGAACATGTTAAGGAGAATGGGGGTGGATAAGAAGAACAAATGTAATTTATAATAATCAATGTTATATAACTTTCATTCTTTGTCACTGGTAACACTCCCTAACTGTCCTGTTAAGAATGGGAATGTCAGGTCCCATCCTGTAAAGTCAACATGTTGTCAGACAGGGTTTGGCTCCAGAAAGCATGCAGGGAAAATGCCATGTGCTGTGATTTTCCTGACTTCAGACTATCAGTCGGAGGAGCGTATTCCCAGTGGTGGTGATTCTAATGTAAAATTTTTACAGGCCAAACGATGGTTGCTTTATAATTTTAACAAATCGTCATCTTTTAGTAACATCTTGTTTATTGTCTTCTCAGACTTTCTTTTGTAAGGAACTCGGCTTGTGACATTTACAACCTACTAGCTTGTGAGGTGAGAGCAGTCATAAAGACCTTAAATTTGGATGGCAAGGGTTCCTGTCTGTATATTGTTGAGGAAGTGATTTTATTATTGATCAAGAAATGGTGTTTCTCACGGGCTTGGGAAATCTTGGCTAGCATGCATATAATGTGGTAACTTTGTCAATCCATTTTATTTTTTTAAATAAATATATGATCTCAGAGCCAGCCTGTTTTCTCATTTTTATTCAGGAGAAAGGTAAACTAAATATTAAATGTCATTTTTTTTAATTGAGACAAATTTTATTTCTGTCTTAACAATTAAGGAAATATGGTCGGCTGTGTTGTCATGATGTGCTTTTGACCATTCTATTGTAGAAACTGTTAAATCTTTTATAAAGGAAACATATTTTGTTCATTTTCTCTCCTGTAGGTTCTTTCTATTGCAGTCATTACTCCCACGTTTCAGTCATTGCCCAGAAATGGGGTGGTGGTGGACTTTGCCTTTTCCTTTTTGGTATTTAGACTACTGTTTGAATGTTCTATGTGAATCACATTTGTTTTTGTTGTATCCAGATGTTTCTTTACTATAAAGAAGTACAAAGGGTAGTGAATCCCAGCATTCAGAGGTGGAAGCGGGAGGATCAGAAATTCAAGTTGTCCTTTACTATGGAGTTTTAGGACAGTCTGAGCTACACAAGATGTGGAAAATCAGGGTGGAGGGAGGACTGGGATGTAAAGATAATCTAAGAAGGCGGGGGGGGGGGGGGGGAAGGCAGGCAATCCTCCATTAGTACAGTTGCATCTCGTTTTATTTGACTATTTCAGCAGACATTCAACAATTGTTTATACCTAGTGAAAATTAAGCCCTGGAAAGACTAAAGGAAATACCAGTTATCACACATTATTGCTGTACTCCAGATGGAATCTGGGCTGTCTTCTGAATTCTAACTAGTGTTACCAAAGCTATAAACAGAGGTATTTAAGGATAATTGAAATAAATACATGTATTAATTTTTTTTTTCCTCGCCATGGAGAGAATCTGAAAAGCAGTCATGTTTATGTTTCCTTTGGCCCTAGATAACATCAGCAACATCAGCCAATGATTGGTTTGTACAGAGCCTCACCCAACCCGGGTTGTTGTGTTCATTTACCTACTAGAGTATGAGAATCATTCAACAATGTGGATGCTTTTAGAAAACATATTCCCAGGACTTTTGGGGGAGTGGGTTTTCGATAAAGTCCCTCAGTAACTCGAGCTGGTCTTGAACTCTCAGTTCTCCTTGCTTAGCTTCCTGAATGCTGGGATTATAGGCTGTGCCACTTTACCGCAGTCCAGGTCCAATCACTATAGAGAATTTGGTAGACTTATATTGGAGCCTTAGTATTTTCACAGCCTTAACAGCATTCTGGTTCTTGGGTTTTGAAACTTTTCAAGATCTAACTAGGTTTAGCAACCACTTCTATATATCTGAAAAGATATAATGATTCCTAGAAACTGCAAAACTACAGTTAGGTATGGCACGTGGACATCTGCCACCGGCAGCAGGAGTTGTGTTCATCAAATCAGAGTGTATCCTTTCAACTTCCATTTTGTCCCTCTGCTTCTTGTTACACCCCCACCTCATTTGCATTCTTTGTATGGAATTCAGAAATTTCTAAAGGCTACAATAAGAAAATACAGAGTGAAACATTTCAAAGAATTCTAGAAGACAAGATGTTTCTCTTGTAGGTTTAAACAGAAACTTGAGTGGAGGTATAGAAAAAGAAGGGCCCAGATAACTTGTCAATACTTTGGATTGCAAAGGGGGGAATGCCAATGCAGAGATCTTTTCACCTTGAGCTGGAGAATGGAACTGGAACCTTAATAAGTGGTTGAGGTGAGATGCCTAAGATTGAAGGTAAAGGACTAACCCTAACCCTAAGATTGAAGGTAAAGGACTAACCCTAACCCTAAGATTGAAGGTAAAGGACTAACCCTAACCCTAAGATTGAAGGTAAAGGACTAACCCTAACCCTAAGATTGAAGGGAAAGGACTAACCCTAACCCTAAGATTGAAGGGAAAGGACTAACCCTAACCCTAAGATTGAAGGGAAAGGACTAACCCTAAACCCTAAGATTGAAGGGAAAGGACTAACCCTAACTGGGCTATGGGCAGGCTGGCCTTGTTAGCAAAGTCATGAGACAGCTTTGAAGGGCTTCTGTCAACTGAGGCCAAAGCTGCCTTCTTCCTGCTACCCGTTTCTGCCCAAGATACTGGAAAGCACACCAGACTAGTACCAAAGACTACTATGCTGTGGCCACTCTGATCAAGATTTCTTTCTCTTCTTACTAGAAGTAGAGCTGCTGACCCCTGATTTTTGTGATTCCAAATAGCCTAGTGTGACCAGGTCCTCCTCCACGTCTAGTTCAGTTTGTTCTCCTATGCGGTGCCTCCTAGATGGACAAACAACAAGGTTTTTATCTTTATTCTCATCCTCACGTCACGACAATTTTGTACATGTGTCGTTGGGCCACAACAGTGTTCTCCGCTGAGGATTTTATAACGGTGGTTCCCAGAAGATGGCATTGGTGGCGACTTCTAGTCAAACACCTGCAGCTGTACTGCTGTTTCCTACTGTGTCCATCCTGCTAAAGGTGCAGCTTTGAGTACAGTTCAATGAGTTCAGATGGGATGAGAGCTCTCAAAGTTCTGAGGAATTCTGACACCAAGGATTCCAAACTCAGACACCACTTTGAAGCAAGACTGGGTTACCAGTTGGAAGGAGGCCGTGGATTCCAGGGCTGATCCTGTCACACCAGAAGGGCCAAAGTCCAAATTGGCCTGTAGCTCTAGACACTTGCTCACCACAGCTTTTACTTCACAGTCTTTTCTTTTGCTTTCTTCTGCTTCTTCTGTTCCTCGTATTCAAGTATTTTCTTTTGGAAATAGCCTGTGAGTTCAAACAGGTGTTAGTTAGGCAAACTGATGAGCTCAGGAGTAAGTACTCTCAACAGGCCTGAAGTCTGATCTGTGGAATTACATGTCTACAATCCTAGCTATTGGGAAACTGAGGCTACATAATGAGACTGTGACTCAAAAAAACAGAAAGACCCCACATTCTCCCCTACCCATAAGCTGCCAGAATCTCTAGGCACTCACCACATTTAATCTGACCCGAAGGGGAATCCACAAATAGTAGTTAGCTCCAGTATAAAACGAAAGAGGGCTCAGGCTGCTGAGTGATGAACAGACATCTCTGTACAAACTGCCTGCCCCTGAAGCAGTTTCTCTGGTAACTTCCATTGAGCCCATTGACCCCCACTGCTCTGCCTGCCACTGAAGAGACGCCTCTGTCTGTTTTTTGGTTTCTTTTCTGAGACAGGATTTTTCTGTAGGTTTGGAGCTTTCCTGGCAGTCACTTGAACTCAACAGAGATTCACCCATCTCTGTCTCACGACTGCTGGGATTAAAGGTATGTGCCAATAAAGGTACTCCTTAAGGGAGACACTTCTAGAGAAGTTGGTGTAGCTGTGTATACCTGCAGGAGGGTTCCTGCTCTTCTCTGCTTCCTGGATGAACAGGGAAAAAAGCTGTGTCTTCACAAACTTCTTCACAAATCGGCGCTTGGTCTTGGAGGTGATGGCTTTACAGAAGGATCGTTCTTGGAAGTGGCCTTGCCCACTGGCTTCCCGTTTGATATAGGACGCATAGTGGCCCACAGTCTTGACAAAGAACTGCACAAAAGGGCCTGAAACATGCTCATTGATTTGTTCTGAAGCTGCAGGAGACAGAAAGACCCATTATAGAGCAACAGAAGATTAAATTACCCAAATTCACCTCTAATTATGGTTTCTATTGTTGGCCAGAAGTTCCCAGGGGAAGCAACTGAGTAAATGAAAGGAAGCCTGAGATGTGAATGGCTTACAGCTACAATACCAACTTCCAGAAGTCTAGGACAGGAGGATTGCCATAAGTTTGAGACCATGTCTCACAAGACAAAAAATAAATAAATAAAAATAAAAAAAAAAATAAAAAAAAATGAAACTAGGAACTGGATATAGATTCTCTACCATTTCCTATGAAAAGAAGCAAAGTTTCATATTCAGAGTCTAGTCCCCTGACACAAGCTAGTAAATGGGTTTATTTTAGTAGACAAATTGGGAATCCTTCCCTCAAGCTCCCTGGGAAAGCCTAAAGTAAAAGAAGAGCCGAGAACTTACTCTTGAACTCATTTATCCCCTGACCAAGGGAGCCCAAGATGTCTTCTTGCAGTTTTGGCGGTAGGATGTCTTTTTCATCACCAACCTAGAAGGGAACAGAGCTAGGTCAAGGTCAAGGACTCTGGTCAGGAGATCAGGAAGGGGTCCAGGAGAATGTGAGGCGTGCCCTGAGTTCTTGCTCTACTCCACCCCAAACCACAGCTCCACAGAGAGGAACAGAAGTCATTTTGTTGCCTCCCGTTTGAATTCAAGCATGAGCAAGGTTCCCCACAAGTGTATATTGCTTGTTCAAAAGACACTGGCATATTGCATCAGTCAGTAAGGCATCTGGGTCCTTGCCTGTGGCCTTACGAGGGGAAGATAGCACAAGTTCATTCTCAGTGTGTCTGTTGATCAGTGGGCATCATGAGACTCAAAAGATGTTGGTGGCAAGTCTGTGCCAGCAGGTGCCATCAGCACAAACACTTACCGACAATAAGAAGGTTCCTTCACAAAGATTCACCAACAGGACCTGAAGTAAACACAGAATGGCTTTATCTCCACAAACCTCAACTGTCAACTCCCTTTCTTCCCATAACTATAGCAGCAACATCAACATTTGTAATTCTCATTTGACTGTCTCTGCCTGACATTCTCATTCCTTTTTGTGTGTCTAGAAATCTCATTCCCCAGGTAGGAAACTGTTTATAGGAACTGCTTTCTTAATGCAGAGCCATGTGCATGGCACACACACAATAATCACTTTGCATATTTGCATATTTTATTTAATTCTAGCAGTAGTTCTGTGAAGCAGGTGCTATCTCATTTTGTGGATGAGATAAACATAAATAAGTTTGTGTCAGAACCAAAGGAACTCCAAACTCCAATAGGCAGTTCAAATATCCAGACACAAGTTCAACCTGGCGTATAAGAGGATTTCTGGTTGTTAGCTATAAGCCAGCATTCTTTAGGAAATAGTGAAACTCATTCCCACCTCCCAAAAGGAGTCATTTCCCTTCCCTCTGAGAAAGGACTCCGCTAGCTACTCATCCATAATCCTGCTATTCTCTGCTCTCTTTTTTCCTCTCTCCCTCCTCTCCTCTCCTGTATCTGTCTCTCATTATTCTTTCTCGCTATGCTCTACTCTGCTCTGCATCTCTTGCCATCTCCCTCCCTCCACTATTCTCTCCTCCTCCCTAGCCCTGCCCACGTCCTATGTGCTGACACTGGTCAGTCTACTTCTTTCTGCTCTGGAGTCTTCTAGATGCCTCTCGCAGTTATCTCGTATCTGCAGTAAAAGTATTGACCATATTATGGAGCCATCATGTCAGCGGTTTCTTCAGTGCGCCTCCTCGCCTACAGTTCCCAGAGGTCATGGTGCTGAGACCTAAATTGTGGTCTTTGAGATCACATTCCTCTTCTCTCCCACCCTCCTTCAGCATCTTGTCCTCTGGTGCACTCAACAGAGGACTGGACAGAGGCAGCCATGTTTTGAGCTTTTCACATTTGCAGTCTTAGGTACAATTGCCTAGAGTTCTTAGAAGCTCCCTCAGATTGGCTGGAAGTGGAGGTCAGTGGTAGCGCGCATGTTTAGCATACTGTTGGACTGGATTCAGTTCATTAAAGGCTTAATAACAGCCTTGAGCCAGCAGGAAACTCAGCAAGGGGAGGACATGAGCTCAGGGTCAACAGGAAGAAGAAAGGAAAATAAGCAAAGGGGCCAATGCATGTACTGGCTACATATGAGGCAAGCGCAGCCTGAAAATCCTACAATTTAGAGCACAACACGAAACAGTCATGCTGCTGATTCCTTAGAGTATGGTTAGGTAATTGGACCACTTCTAATATTCAAATTAAAATATTTTAAATGATCACATTTTAACACCTGAAAACTCATAGACTCTGACATTATCCTTGGTTTTGCTTTAAGATAGGATCTTATGTCGTCTAGGGTGGTCTTGAACTCTGATCCTCTTACTTTCACTTCCTACTAGCAAGAAATAGCACAACCAACCTGTACTATATTTAAAACTAACATTCAAAACCAGCAACAATGACAGTATCAAACTGCTACCATTAGATGGGGATTTGATCACCAATGAACAATAGTTCTCCGGATCCTGTGCTGGCATTTAAGGACTATTTGGGGTCGGTCCTATGTTCAGTTTCCTACCTGGGTCTTGACAATAGAATGAAGGATCCCTATGTGTTCCCTACTTTCAAATATAAGGAAAGAGAAACTGGAAAATTTGCCAAAGCACGGCCTGCACTGTAATTATCCAACATCAGAGGAGAAACCCTGAACTAGTCCAGGCCTGAAACAACATGTATAAATAAAGTTTGAATGCCTTCATACAAGGAGGGCTGTTCTTCTGGGAATGAAGAGAAGGGTAGGCATGAATATCTTTTTTGAGGTTGTTCCCAAAAATCTTTTCAGAATTTCATACTGTCTATGGAGTAATTCCTTTCAGAGAGCTTCTGTGGAGAATCAGAGAAACTTGCACTGTGCCCAAAGAGTACTTGTGCGTGCACTCCATATGACTTCCTCCCTTATCCTTCTTGCCCATTTTTCAGAGCAGCTGCAAAGGGATAAATTGAGCAAAAGCTCTTGACTAGCAAGATCCAGAGCTCTACTGGCCTTCGTTTGTCTTCCTGCCTGACTGTTGGGAGGAGCCTCAGTTTCAGAGGAGGGAAGTTACATAACTTCTGGGGTTGAGACATTTTAGGTTTTATTGCTAAAGTGGGGCTGATACCCTGCTCCAGTTACTCATAAGGCTAAGGGTTGTTCACAGGGCATGTGTACTCAGCACAAGAGCTGGAGAAACAAAAGGCAACAGCCTACTTCTCTCCCTCCCAGGAGTACCTTCTAAAGCAGGGCTTTGGCCTTTCTTTGAGTTCCACTGCCGCCCCATCTGCACAGTAGACTTGCTGGATTCACCAACCTCTTATGCAAAGGGGAAATCCTCCCACTAGGACTACCTCCGGGCCTCTTTAGTGCTTGCATCAGGATGCTTCAAAAGGTAACTCTGCCTCTGCACAGTGAGTTAATGGTTAATCTGGGCTGACATTCCCAAGCAGTCCTGTATTCAGCTATAGCGATGATACTACAGTCTTTAGATCAAAGCACATGTTTCAAGTTGTTTGTCCGCCTTTGGGGGTAGATGTATGTGATCATCTTACTTTTGTCCACTTACACAGTTGAACTCTCTTCTGTGTTCAGGGTCATTACCAAGAAACAAACTCAAGGCGGATTTGATTCTATATCATCGTTACCCACTGAGCTCTGGGCTACTCATAAAGATGGTACTTGTTCACATCTCTTCATCTTCAAGACTTAACAGTTTACAAAAGGGCTTGTTTCCAAGGAATTTGAATTCCAGAGGGGGTGTGCTTTGCACAAGCCAGCTGTGATCATTCATTTCACTGAGAGATCACTCACATGACTGCTCAGTATGGAGAATGAGCTAATAGGATCGTCCCATGAGCTCAGAATAAGCAGCATCTTGCTTCCTAAATCCAAAAAGGAGTCACTCAAAAGAAGAGAACCAACATTCACTGGACATGGGCTGAGTATTAGGTGCCCAGCTAGTAGTATAGCCATGTCATTTTCCTCAGTCTCTAGCAACTGAAGACAGCCATCCCCAGTTTGCTGATAAATTCAGGTTTAAAGGGGTTAAGTGATAGGTCCCAAATCACACAGTTGTTGGCAGCAGACTTAGGATACAAATCAAAGCCTGCCAGGCTATAAACCGTGCGCTCTCTTCAATGCAGCTTACCTCTTCCATGGGACTGTCCATAACCTCCTGTAGGAAGCGCATCTGTACCCCAACCATGAAGGGGGTGGGGCAGCAGACAGTGGCCAGAAGGCTCTCGGGGACCACAGGGATGTACGTGTGTGCCCAACTAAAGGGGTAGAGCAGAGCCGCTGCAGCATGGATACACTGAGACAGGGTACTGGAACACAGAAGAAAGAATGGGTCAGCGAGGCTTCTCTGTTCCTATGCACTGACTCAGAGCCCCACGCCTACAGAAGCTACTGGAAATATTCCTACGCTGGGTAAAAAAAAAAAAAAAATCAAGTCTGGAAGCCATGGAGATCATAGAGCTTGTAGCTACTTGTTGCTAAGAGAAGGGTAGAAATCAGGAGAGGCGAGGCCCTACTACCAGGGCGGGGCCCCCTTTAATCTCTATTCCCAGCTAGTTCTTCCAAGTCATTACTGACTAAAAATAAGAGTGGCTCAGAAGACATGTCTTCATTTAAGCAGGCTATGAGCGAGCCTCTACTCTGCAATGGACAGGGATAACTAGAAGAATAGCACTTGCCCTTCTTTGAAGAACTCACAGCACAGTGAAGAAACAAGCCAGCTGACACCAGGCTTTGGTGAAGAGGCAGAAGTATCATCCACAGCCATGTACCCCTAAGGCTCCCTGTAGCCATCTGAGGTTACTGAAAGCTCTCAGGTTGGTGCCCGAGTTAGTTTGGGAAATTCCTGGGTTCCAGGAACCACTACTCAGAAATTCCGGAAAGTCCCACAGAGGTGACTCTTGGAGACTTTGCTACACGGATTCCTAATGGCATGACTCTCCAAGTCACAACTCGACCTCTTTCCTTGCCCTCACCATACACAGCCCATCTCTGGATTCCCTATTCTCCACTAGCTCTCATGGCTTTTCCTTTCTCCAGCCAAATCGCCCCACATCTAAGGCCAATAAAAACATAGATGCGGAAACCTTGGTATCAAGCTAGCACTTCCTGAGTTTGAAAGACCAAGTCTCTGAGTGCCTAGCTAAAAAAACTTGGCGAGCTGGAAGTCCCCTCCCTGCACCAGCCTCCAGTTACTGAAAATTCCATGTGGAAAGAAAGTAGGAAGTGTTAATATTTCCTGGAGAAAGTTCATTCTTGAGAGGTATATGAGCAGCCTCTTCACACCCCAAACACTGATCAATAGAGAAAGAACTTAGTTGGAGCCTGAGCCCCAGCTGCCACAAAAACTTCTTCCACACTGGACTGGAGCAGCAGAGCCTCCTCTGAAACAAAAATCATGACCCTTTCCACAAGAATTAGCCTATGATATTTTCCTTTTTCACTATTGTTGACGTTACTATGTTCAACACACAGACCCCCTGACACCTGCCAAGATTCCTTTTTTCTTGAACTCGTGACATCCCTTGATCCTCTCTAGTGTCCTCAACTTCTTTTCCTTCTTCCCCAACGGATAGTACCAAAATTATAGATAGATCAAAGGACAGATCAAAATTATTGCTTCTTGCTGTGATGACACACACCTTGAATCCCAGCACTCAGTAGGTAGAGACAGGCAGATCTCTGTACGTTCCAAGACAGCTAGGGCTACAGAGTAATCCCTACTCTTTTTATGAGTTTTTTTCCCTCTGCCTGACCCAGGTGTTCGTACATCCTTTTCAGATTGAATTCTCTCAAAGGTGGTAGCCAGCACATGGTAGCTTCCTGCTTCTACATACAGGTTTATACTCAACTGTGAACTGACTGAGCGTAGCAGGTCGTCCTCACCAATCTGCATCTGCCGGTGCCCTGGGTGTCTACAACTGTGCATCATCACCTTTAATCCTCCTCATCACAACCATATAAAGCAAATCCAATCAATTTCATCCTACAGATAAGCAGATTTTTACTTCAAGAAGTAAGAAGCTGACCTAAGCAGAACTATAGCTAAAAGTGGAAGAACAAGATTTGAAAGTCATTCTGCTGGTTTCAATACCTATGCTTAAAGCAAATACATAACCCCTCATCTCCTTCAGAGCAAACACAGAGTCTTCTTGCTATCTCCCCAATGCCTGGCATCTGGCAAACAGCTGACATGCAATAAATATTTGTTCAGTGAGTTCATAAGTGTGGAGATGAGCTTATCCGCCATGCCATTATACAGCTTCCTGTCCTCTTCCCCACCCACTTCCCTCCCTCAGCCTGGCCTTGCATAAGTACAGAATCATGTCTGCATTCACCCTAGCTGGCCCCACCTGTACTGTACCAGGAACACTCCATGTCCTTCTTAGATTCTAGTCAGGCGGCAATCAGGGTTGGAGATGACCAGACAAGTCGCACTACCTGTTTCTCTAGGCCTAAAATGCAGATCCAGGAACTCAAAGCTGGAAGGTGCACACATGGGCTCTATAGTCAGGCTGCCTTTAAGAAGCCCCAGTAATGTCCCTTGAATCGGGGGTGCGGATTAGTGTGGCCAGCCAGCGGCTGAGCTTACCTGAGACCTTCTGCCAGGAAGATGATTTTTCTTTCCAGGACTGCAGAGGCAAAGATCTGAATAATCTGCTCAAACTGCAGACAGTTCAACAGAGCACTAAAGTCCACATGCTCTAGGTGGGAGTCCAGGGGCCGTGTCAGTGAGATGAACTGTGGGACGACCAGAGAGAGAGGCTTCAGCAATACAAAACCACAGACCTAAACAGGCCTATCCCATTCCTCGTACAGGACAGATCTGATCCTGGCTCACCCAGCAGTGGCTTCCTTCTGCCCTGAGGACAGCTAGGTGGAATCTTCAGTATGGCCCATGAGGTCCAGCCTAGGATACATCCCCATCTCCACATGCCTCATTGTGTAGATGGCTCATGGGGTCCAGCCTGGTACACATCCCCATCTTCACATGCCTCACCGTGTGCATGGCCCATGAGGTCCAGCCTGGGACACATCCCCATCTTCACAATCCTTACCATGTGAATGGCCCATGAGGTCCAGCCTGGGATACATCACCATCTCCACAATCCTTACCATGTGAATGACCCATGAGGTCCAGTCTGGGATACATCCCCATCTCCACATGCCTCACCGTGGGAATGGCCCATGAGGTCCAGCCTGGGATACATCCCCATCTCCACATGCCTCACCATGTGGATGGCTCATGGGGTCCAGCCTGGGATACATCCCCATCTCCACATGCCTCATCATCCACATGTTCTGGGGCAGAGCTCCTCTCCTGCCTAAGCCTGGCATGGGTCAAGCCTCCCATATACTGATCTCCTCGCTTCGTTCTTATCCTCGAGCCCCAGATGCCCACCTTGGTCATCTTAAGACCTCCTCACCTTTTTCTCATGCTACACACTGCTTTCTCTTTCAGTGTGATTGCCTAATCTTCCTCTGGTTCTCTTGGCTCTCACGTTCTCTGGAATGTGTACACACCATTCACTCACTTACACATTGACTTATGTGCCTTCTCCATGAGACTTAGCTCCGCGAGTCAGGAGCCGCATTCCTTTCACTCAGCATCCAGAAAATGCACATTTAGGCACAAAACACCTCAGTCCTTGTTTCCCCTTCAATACTTATTCTTCCTAGTGACTCCCCGATTCTTCTGTAAGAATGACCAGGTTCAGAGGTACACGTGGAATTTCCATAGTCCCCGCGATCCTGACTGGAATTCCAGTTGGGCCTCTAGTTCTTTAGTGACTCGGAACAACTGAACCTCATGACATGGGTGTGGACGTACGGGTGGGGATGAGTGATAAGAAGTAAAACAGATGGAGACTGTAGGGTAGAGATACAGGACACGCACACGGAGAGAATAGGAGTAAGGCGTAAGAGCAACTGGGAGTTTGGAGACTACGGACAAACTAAGCCCCATACATGATCACAGACAAAACTCAATAGGCTAGTAACTGCTGGTGGACATCAGGTTAGAAGGTGTAGCACATTGGGGTGACATTTTAGCTCTGCCAAAAATCATAATGCCAGGCTCAGCTTCCCTATACGTTAGCCAGGTGAATGAAATAAGAGCGTTGGGCAGTCCCACAGATGTCCACCCTCTCCAGCCAGTCACACACTTGTCAGCCTACCTCTGTGCCTGAGTCAGGGATGAAACTCTTAAGGGTGACAGTCTTTCCGGGTGCGGGGAAGGCTGCCTCTCGGAGACCTTGCATGAATGGGTAGATGACAGCCATGGAGATCTGGTGTCTCTTCTCTACTTCATCTAGTATCTGCAGGGAAAGGACCACAGGAAGCAAGGCTTAAAGGGATTCTACTGAATGCCCTATGGCTCTCACACTGCTTCTGCTTCTACTCTGGTATTTTCTAGACCCCTCCACCAACTGGCTTCCATCTCATGGACAAAACCTACACCCCCAAGATTTCTTTTGATTTCATATTCCTTTCTTCTCCTAGCACCGACATGAAAGTACCAAGCCTAGCAAGTCATCTTCCATGTTAGCACTGGCTGGAGTAGCAGTCTAGAAGCCTAACCTTCTGGGCCTCACTGTCCCATTTCCTCTGGACTGTCATCAGGGTGAAGCTGCCACCAGCCTTCAGTGTGATTCACAGAAGATCCACCCAAGCAGAATACCATTAAGTTCCTCTCCCACAGCCAGTCCTTCTGGCCACCAAGACAGTCCATGGACAGAATCAGTTCTGCCTTGATTCTGTCCCCAGCAACACAAGTCCTTAATTTCTTTTCCAGCTTAATCAAAGTCAGGGTAAATCTAGAGATCCTCACTGTGTTTTTGCCTTTAGACTTTCGTGGTACCCTCCTTTTTATTTATTTTTTTTATTTTTTTGATGGATTTTCTCATGTTATACCTCATCTGAGCCTCATACCCACCAGGAAGACAGAAGAACAGACAACAGTTCTCTCTGAAGGGGAAACCGTCTCCTAGATTTCCTTTAAATAGGGTTAAGCTCCGGTCCCTCCTGTCTCAGTTTTACCCAATATTCTTGATACTGGCTGGGCTATCAGGAAGACATTCTACTAAGGGCTCAAGTTGCAAGGCAAGCAGCCAGGCAGAGCCAGAAAGCCGAACAGGCCTGCCTAACAGGCTCCAAGGAATCTTGTCCTAACCTTACCTTGGAGAACAGGCCGAAGCAGCCGATGCAACTGATGATGCAGTATACTTTGGGAAGGCGAGGGCCAGGACCGGCAGGCTGGGGAGGAACAAGAGTTTCCTTCAGGGCTACAGTTTCCACAAGGGTTTCCCCCACATGGGACTGATGGGGCAAAAGGTGGAGTGCTGTGGATGGGGGCCAGTGGTTAGATGGAGAAGAGCCTGTGCAGAGGTTCTCTTCATGGAACAGACCCAGGGTCAAAATAGTCACCAAAGTCAAAAGATGATGATTGCTATTTACAAAGCCACATTATGCAACCAGCCTAAGTGCCTCTCAACAAATGAAAAGGTAACAATAATGTGTCATATAAACAACGTGGAGTATTAGTCATATAATAAGAAAAACAAAATTATGACTTTTTGAGGAAAATGGATGTAGCTGGCAATTATTCTCTAAAGCCAAAGAAACCAGGCACAGAAAGACAAATACATGCTTTCTATTTCATATGCAAGATTTGGATTTTAGAAAAAGAAGACATAAATAAAAGACATGAGGAGCTACAGATGTATCTCAGTGGTTAAAGAGCACACAGTAGTCTTCCAGAAGATCCAAACTCAATACCCAGCACTGACTCCAAATTCAATGCCCAGCACTGACAGCGGATGGCTCACAGCCACCTTTGACTCCAGCTCAGGGGATGCCCCTTCATCTTCTGGCCTCATAAGACACCCATACACATTTGTGCATAGCTCACACACAGACATGTACATATGCACACATCCCACGTAGGCATACACATACACACACACACACACACACATATATATATATATATTCTTTTAAAAAGAGAGAGACAGGAGAGCCAAAGAGACAGATCCATGATTAAGAGAGTTTGGTGCTCTTGCAGATGACCTAGGTTTGGTTCCCAGCTACATGGTAGCTCACAACCATTTGTAACTCCAGAGGACCTAGCTCCCTCTTCAGTCCTTCAGGAGCAGCAGGCAAGCACACAGTGCACTTATGTGCATCCAGTCAAACACTCACACACTTAAATAAAAATAAAGAAAAAGGATGAAGATCATAAAATTAGAAATGAGATTATTTGGAAAGAGCAGGGGAACTGGTGTGATGGGCATAGCAAGTATGTATAGTTCAAGTACATGGATTATACATAAGAAAATACCATGATATCTGTTCTTTTATATACAATGGCTACATGCTAATAAGAGAAGAGAAGGAAGAAAAGGAGGAAGGAGGTGTGAGTGGCAACCTTTGGGGGCCAGAAACCCAAAGGTAAACACTACTGACTCATGACTAACATGAGCTGAAGGTCAGTGAGAACAAAAACTAGTGTGTCTTAGCCATGAGGAAATGTCTAGAGAGGAAAGCATTGGAAAGCTGTCTAGCGAATCCTTGCTCTGAAAGCCAAGAATTAAACCTTGTTCAAATCTCAGACTGTCAGGGAGGCTCCAGGGAACAAGGCAAGCAGGCCTGCATAGAAAAGACTATAAGAGGGTTCTGCTGGAGCATCTCACTGAGCCAGGAGAGCCCAGACGGTAGCCTAGTGGCAGGGGAGGGGAGGGACAGTGTGTCCTTGTTCTTGTGGGGTTACTAACATGGCAGCATGTGCGGAGATGTACTCTCCCTAGAACCACCACTGCCACTGCGCCTGAGCCTTTGTAGGAGCGGCTTTGGCAAGCCCTGCTGTGGAGCTAAACAGTCTGCAGAGAGGAAGGAGCGGTTCTGAGGTTCTGAATAGCACCGACCAGGAGGCGCCTGCAGTATCCAATCTTCCTGCTTCCATCCACGTTGGTCAGGACAAATGAGAAGGTCTCCCTAAGAGAGAGCAAACCAATGTTGTGCATTTGCTCATGAGATTTCTAAAACAAGATTAAAGTCAGCATCAGAGAAGTGAAGAGGAGGACCAAGGGGCGTTGCTGATTAATCACGAGGGTGATCACCTCAGTCACTTATTAAGCACGCAGTGGTGCCAAGCCCAAATGATCACCTCATTTGAGACTCAAATAACCTTTCTGAAGGAGGTTCGATTAGTATTACCACTTTAAAGACGAAGTAAGCAAGACTCAGAGAAGGCATTTCTTAGCTAAAATTTGAAGTCATCGTGGACTTCCAGTGTTCATGATGTAAGAAGCTTCTTGATATTGTCTTGTTAGAGTCCAAAAGCTTTCTTTCTTGTCTACCTTCTGCCAGTGGCAGAGTCAAGAAAAAAAAAAAAGAGTGACTGTTTCTTGAAGGACAGGATAGAGGCTCTCAAGCATCTTTGGATAGAGGTCAAGTCACAGCTAAGATCTTTGGCCTAAAGGACCCTAGGCAAAAATTTCCATGGTAAAAACTCAGCAAACTCTCAGTGATGGGGGGAGCACAAGGGCCACACATTTGACTTCCCATCCATATCTGATACCCTTGTCCCCAGGCTGAGTGGTTACCTGGGATAGTCTGTGAGGGGTGCCCACTCATTCCCATCGGGGAAGCAGAATAAAGGAATGGCTTTGAGCAGCCGTTCTTCCTCCTCCTGTTGACCCCGGAGCAGGTTCTCCCTCTGGAAGGAAAAGGCAAGGAAAGTTAGGCAGGGAGGCAGGGGCCAGAAGGCTATTAGCCTTCTTTCCTGTTAGTATGGAGTACAAAGGTGCCTTTGACATAGTCTGCATTCTAGTTCTAGCTGGAATGACCCCTAAGAGAAAATTTGTTCTAGGCCACATCAATATAACCTGGGATTAGAATTCACTATCCTGAGGAATTTTACATATTCAAAAAGGAGGTTAGACAGGTCATCTGAACCCTGAGAGGATGACATCAGAGAGATACCACATCAAAGAAAAGAAACAACCTCTCCAGAGCTGCTAACAAGAGGGGTCGCAGAGAATGCTGCACTGCCCTCACCCAGTGCACCACCACACAAGGGGGGCTCTAACGCTCCGGGAGTCTGATCTTAGCCTGTGTTTGTGTCTTGGGTCTGCCTGATTCTCCACCACACAGCAGGAAGGGCATGCCTCCTTAGGCATCCCTGATGAAGCCGAGCTTTTCTGTCGGAAAAGGTGACTGAGGTGGAATTCGGAAAAACGAGGCGATTCCCAGAGGGTGAGAGCATGGGGCTCATTTCCCTGCTCCAGAAGTTTAGTCAGTCAGTCACTGCAGACAGACCTAGATTCTCGGGGTGATACCAGAAAGCTAGGGCTGGGCCACAAAGGAAATGAGAGCAGTGAGCTCAGAGCTCCAGAGCTGGCAGGGTGGTAGGGAGCAGAACTTCACCACCTTTTAAACACCCTTCTCTTTCCCCACCTCTGCCCTCAGGCCCCACCTCTCCTCCGTCCTTACCTTGGGAAACTGGTAGGTGATCGTGGGTTCATAGTCATCCCCTGAACGCTTTTTCTTTAAAGAAACAACAAGAAGGTATTCAAAGAAGTGCTGGCCTCCAGCAAAGTTGGACAGGGAATGTTCCTGGGTCCTCTCTGGTTCTGTGGCAGCTTCCCCAGTATTGTTCTGAGAAGGTCCTAAAACGGAAATGCAGGGGCCCCCTGAGTATTCCATTCCTCCATTCTGTACGGTGTGTGAGAACCTGGGCAACCTGCATGCCTCAAGGCCACGTTGCCAGTGCTGATACCCAAGCCTGACCAGGCACCACCAGTCACTGGGTGGGACCAGAGCCAAGTGGGCAGTTTCCACACCTGTCCTGGAAAACCTGAAACTGTGGAGTGACACTGGGAGGCAAAGAAAACACTGCTGTAGAAACCGAGGAGCCATGTTGTGTAGGTTCTTGGAGGCCTGATGACTGAAACTGTACTTCTGCCTACCATAGCAGCTCTGGTAGCATTTCAAACACCCTGGGGAAATTTGTTCTAAATAATCAGATGAGCCCCTAGGGCATTTTCTTTTGGCCATACCAAGAGCTGCACAGGAGACATGACTAGCTCTGCAAACTGATAAGGTAATCCTCTCGGTCCGATCACATGGGGGCCATGTGGATTTTGGCATGCAAAGGGAAAAGAAGGAGGAGCACTCCAGGAGGAAACAGCCCATAAGAGGATCACCCCAAAAAGGAAGTAGGCAATCCAGTTCTGACCTGCTCGAAGTCGTGGCAAGCGATTTCGGAGCAGCCTGAGGGTTCGGCCTACCCCTTGTCCTTCCATCGCTCTGGGCTTGGAGGGCATGGAAGTTCTTTCTCCTGCAGGCTGGCCACAGGGAGCCTGAGAAAGAGCCTTCTGCTTTGTTCTCCAATTACAGCTTTACTAAGCCGAACCATGCGCTGTCTCCCAAAGGCAGAGAGCAGTTTCCATCCTGTGTACTCCGTAGTTGAGCAAGAAGGATGTGAAAGGACCCACGATGCAGCTTAACATGGGCACTGACAGAGGCAGCATCCTGGCACTACAGCTCAGCTCTTGGCTCCTCCCAGGAGCCCCAGGGTGTGGTAAGAGAAAAGGTCATGAGCAAACATCTCAAGGCACAGCTGCTTCTGGACTAAGAGCTTTAAATTCCGGTGCCGCAGACCATGTGGTGAGTCTTTACTACCTTAGGCAGTGAGGGATGCCTGGAAAAACCAGATCATGGACTCCAGCCCCTCTTTGATCTCAGCATAGGTACTTTACATCCCATATCTTTGGTTATTCTCTCAAATTGCTTTCTCAAGTTGCTCATCAGAAACTGCAAAGTCCGACCAAGCCAACTGACGAATTCTGAAATAGGCCTTCAGGATCTCAACCAAGAACACAGGACTGAACACTTCCTGCAACCAAGATGCCACTGCCTTACCCTGAATCAGTTAAGTAATCTTATCCAGTTCTCTAAAAGTAATTTCTAGCAAGAGAGCGAGTCTCTCAACAGACCCCATGGATTCGCTCCTGACGGCGAAGGAAAGAACAAAGCCCACCTCTGAGAAGTTCCTGATATTGACGGAATAACTACAAAGGTAAGCCCCTAACTCCCTGTAAAATGTTCTAGTCTAACACAGGGAACTTTTTCATTGGGACTATTCCAAGACTCTAGCAGATTCCTTCTTTCCCAAGGAAGCACTGACTCAGGACATTGTCCCTAGCCTAGAGTAGGGGACTGGTTTCATCAGCAACAATGCGGATATAAGTGCATCCTCACCCCTCCTGGACTCCTGCTCAGTCTTTCCCCTGGCTGGGCCAGGTCAACATCATAAACTGCAGACCCAGTGTTGTGTCTAAAGGCTGAGGAAGGGGGAAAGGAGCTATTGATAACCCAGGTTTCTCACAGAAAGTCCTGAATAAGGAAATGCATGGGATAAGAGGAAAGAGCCCCTGCCAGGAAGTTGCTTAATGGGGAGGGAGGAAGCAAAGTGATCTGGTGCCTGTGTCTGGCACTCCTGCAAAGAATTAGCAATCCTCTGGGAGGGAGTGGGTTGCTATGGTAGGAAGGCTGTCCCTCTGCTCCTAAGAGCTCTAAAACTGGGCTTTCATGGCACCAGGAAAAGTGGGGACTCGGAGGTCCAAAGTTGACTTGTTGGAGAAGCCCCAATCATTGTAAATAGGATGAGAGCTGGAACAGTGTGAGGGATAAACCAGGACACCCCAGGCAGTCACGTGTCTTTCCTGTACTCTGTATAGACATGTTACATAATCTTTACAGGGTGTCTGAAGGAACAAGCACCTGCCTGAACCAGAAGGGAAAACTGAGGAATTAAGTAACTTGGGTAATTTAAAATGAACAGGATCTGTAGAAGATGAGAATTACAAGGGTTCCAAATCCAAGCTCAGGCCTTCTGGTGTATTACACAGTCAACCTCACATGGTGTGTGTGTGTGTGTGTGTGTGTGTGTGTGTGTGTGTGTGTGTGTGTGTGTGTTGGAAGGGGAGCAGTAATCAAATGATGGCTTGGACAGCCAGAATCATCTTCCCGATCATCCCAGAACCTCAGGAAGTAAGTCTTTTCCTAAGTCCTTGGGGCAGCATTTTCACGCCATTTCCTCCTGCTTTATCAGGAGAAAGTAGGCAACAGCAAAGGCAGAGATCCTAGACCAAAGAAAAGTAACTAGACTTTTTAGGCTGAGGCTCAAGAGAGTCGATAAAAGAGTGTTTTCTCCTTCTCCCTCTTTCAAAAGCGTTTGTCACAGAAAAGCATGAGAAGAACTAATTTGCATCAAACTCCTGCATAATATAACGCATCTCACTTAATCCCTCATGCGCGGGAATGAATTCTTATCCTCATTTTTAATTGAGAAAGGAGCCACCCTCTAAGGAAGTTAAGAGTCGGGTTACACTAGTTCCTCCACCAGAAAGCCCCTCCCACAACCACCTGAAGGAAAGGGGACTTTGGGGAACCTTGATCTGAAAGGCTGTTGTTTGTTCTTTGGCGAGCTGCTAGCTGCTAGCAACCCAGAACCACCACAGCAGTCTTCCCCACTATTGTTTTACGCAGGCACGCACGCACTCACGCACTCAAGCACGCAGGCACCCACCCACAGACAGCCCTCTGAGAAACAACTGCTTGAGCCAGAAGGGGAAATCCCCCAGGAAGTAGAAGGATAACAAGAAAGTTGAAAAAGTCACACCCATATGATCTGACAGGTGCTAAACTTGTGAACAGGCACATATAGATGGGCCTGTCTTCCTGTTCTTCAACCACAAGCCCCCCCCCCCCCACCACCACCACCACTGCTACCTTTATGCTGCTGTAAGGGTCGGGTGGCAGAAGATTACCCGGGTCTAGGAAGCCCAAGAAAACCAAGCCAGAACTCCGCAGGAAAATTTAAAAAAAAAAAAAAAAGTCACATTTTTTCCCCCAATACTGCTCCAGCAATTGCAGACCCCTCCCCTGCATGCAGAGAAGAGAGGCATGTGCCAAAACAACCACAGCTGGAGCAGATGTGAGGGTGGCAGAAGTGAGAAAGGACAAAGAGCAGATCAGTCACAAGTCACTGCAGATCCGAGAAGGAAGTACTGACCTCAAGTACCGGGGCCTATTACGAAAGGGGTCCACAGACCACTTGCAAATACTGGAAGGGGTGAACTCTCGGGATGACCCCTACAAATCCTTCAGGCCTCTATTCAGAACCACGGGCTCTGAACCAACTCAGGGGTGGCAGCTCAAGGATAGCACTGGCCAGCCATAAACAACAGATGCTTGTTGAATGAATGGATACATTAATGAATCCTAATTGCCCTTCTTCCAAACCCCAAGGCACCAGATACGTAGAAAGGAAACGTGACAAGATCTTGTCATTTCATCCCTTCCATACACCCTGAACAGGGAAACGCTTCCCACCTCACTGGTCAGAACTCAAGGTCAGGGTTGAGAAAACAGCTGGGCTGACAGTACCTATTCTCTACCTCCCTCCACCTCCCCCAGACCCCGCGCCTTGGCCAGTCCTAAGGTCTTGAAGAGCCAGTTTTTGTGGCGCAGTTATCAGCAAGGACAAGCTGGCTCCCAGGAACTGAACAACCGCCAATCCAGTCCTAGGCAGCTAGCTAAGAAGGGAAGCTAAGCGTCTCCTGGAGGGCTTGGCAGCCCAAACTCTAGCCATAAAGCTCTACAAGCTTCCTGGATGGAAGGACACGTGGCCAGCAACCCAGAGCCCCACAACCCTTGCAGGTTCCTAGTCACCCGCTCCCCCTCAGCCCAACAGGTCTGTCCACTCGCTGATCTCTACCTGCTCTCTTGAGTTCACCTGCCTCCTGCCCAGCCCTCCCAGATCCCGCCCAAACTGCTCCTCGATCTTGTCCCCCGGTGCCGCACTGAGTATACAGTCCTGGCGCCCAGGTCCCCACGCCCTCTTCCCCTCGCGCTGTGACCCGCACTAACCCCCGCGGCCGCGCTTCAGTCTCAGGCTGGCTCGGAGGCGGCGGCCGAGCCCATCCATGGCCCCTCCAGTGCCCGGCGCCGGCTCCCACGTCCGCACCGGCCCCGCCCCCCAATCCTTGACCTGCGCTGGGGCCCCCTGGAACTTTCACTTTCACGCGGGAGGCGCGGGGAGGGGGGGCACTGGGGCGGGGCAGCGCACCTTCCGGGCTCCTGCCCAGCGCCTGGTGCACCTGGCCTGGCCGCGCTTCCCTGGTCCCCACCCTACCCCACTGCGCGTCAAGGTCTGGGGTGACAGAGGGCGCTAGACAGCGAGTCCGGGAGGGGCGGTGCCACCACACTGCAACCCTCTGTGAAACTCCACTTTCAAAAACACAATGAGAGGTGTCTGAAGAGACCCCTACCTCCAGTGCAAGGACTGGGAGATGCACCTCCCAGTTGTTTCCAAACTAACCAGAGAAGGTAAAGAACTCTCAGACCTTACTCCCTTCCAGCTAAATGTCTGTCTTTGCAAATCTTGTAGGAGCTGGCTACCTCCAGTTCTCTTTCTTTGTCATCTCTTCCTAGAGAAGGGACTGGAGAGGTGGATTAAGGTAAGGACTCCACCTTCCATTCGACCATTCGACGTTGCTCGTCCACAGATCAGAGGTGGGTGGTCCTTGGACTTCTCACAGGGCAGGGAACCCTGATCGCTCTTTGGGCTGACGATGGAGGGGGACTTGGTTAGGGGAGGGGGAGGGAAATTGGAGGCGGTGGCAGGGAAGAGACAGAAATCTTTAATAAATAAAGAAACGGAAAAAAAAGAAGCACAAAAAAAAAGGAGGATACTGGGAGCCTCGTTGCCGTGTGAAGATCAGATCTTGACTGTCTAGGATTAGGAAACCTTTAGAAAACTGTTCTGTGATACAAATGTAAAGGATGCCTATTGTCAACATTGTAACTATTTCCACTACTCTTCTGAGGCCAACACAGCTGCAGCCCTGCCTTTCTTTCTCTCCTCACCTCCGATGACTTCTAGATAGGCCCAGACTTAACCAGGTTCCTGTGATAAGCACCCCCTGTGGTTTCAGAGGTGCATCCTCTCTCCTTCCAGGATAGTACAGGTATCTGTAAGAGAGGGACAGGCAGAGTCAGCTTGAACTCTCTGTGTCCACCATGGTCTTTCTAACCTTGATTTCAGGAATAAAGGGCAAAAGGAAATGAAGATCAAAAAAAAAAAAAAAGAAAAAAGAAAAAAAAAAGTCTGGGGTCCACAGTCCTCTTCAGTCTCTCCATGTCTTGACCCTGGGTGACTCCACATTCCTCAGCTCTTTAGTTCAGAAGGAACTGGACAGCCAGCCTTGGCATTAAATTGACTACTCTGGGCAGAGGGTCTTTGAGTTGCCTTTATTCTGGGAGCAAGCAACTTGCACTTAATTCTAGAGTTTATTTCTGTTTCCTATCCCTCGGATCCTTCCATGAGAAAACATGAAAGGACATGGCTGTCCCCAAATTCCTTCTCTTATGAGACCCACAGCTTAAAAAATCTCTCACAAAAAAAGGAGCTGCTTATGAAAACCTTGTACAATTTATTGACGTTATTCTGTCTTAACTGGGCCAAACGGTGTTTTCTTCCTTTATAAGCAGACGATTAAGAATATATGTGCACCAAGAAGACATGGACAAGAAGATTAATGGGAACTGTATTTGCTCGGAGAATGTGAGGAAGTAAAATCTACATTTGAAGCAGCCAGAACATAATGTGGAAACAACCTCAAACGTTCATTAACAACAACAACAACAAAAAAAATGGGCGAATCACAGCAAAAGTATACAATTGTGTCTTATGCAGCATTAAAAGCAAATAAGCCCCTGTTGCATGCAATATAATGCCCATACTGTGCAAATATGATTTTTTAGCAAGAGTTACCAGACCCAGAATAGATATGCTTCAATTTACATAAAATTCAAAACTAACCTATAGCATGGGCAGTCAGGATGATGCCTCCTTTAGGGAAAAAGTAGGAAAAAATGGCTGGGGGATACCACACAACCTCTGGGGGATACCACACGACCTCTGGTGGGGGATGGAAACAGTTGACCAGTGCACTCCTACTGTGATGATAAAGCCATTTACTAGGTGCTTTGTACTAAAGATTTAGGGTTTTTATTTTATTTCTTTATTTGTTTGTTTGTTTTGAGAGAGAGAGTTTCTTTATATAGCCTTGGCTGTCCTGGAACACTGTAGCCCAGGCTGGCCCCGAATTCAGAGATCTGCCTGCCTCTGTCCTGAGTGCTGAGATTAAAGGCATGGACCGCCACTGCCTGAGGATTTAGAAAGCTTTAATAGGCTTTCACTTAGACCAGTGTCAGAAAGGTTGTTACTGGTTGTAGGGAAATGGAGGTGGAAACGGACCAAGAATTAATTTAGAAATTAGTGGAATGTGAAGAAGTAAGATCTACATCTCTGGGAAGGATGAACAACAGCGGGGGAAGGGGGAGTTAGTTCAGTGGCCTCGAATTGAAGGGATATTTGTGTTTAGCGTGGTGGATTCTATGAGAAAGACAAGAAAGCATTTGTTCTTGGCAAAGAGATAGGAAAGGGGAAAAAATTAAAGGTTTATAACTCAAGAAAGAATGAATGGAAGAAACAAAGTCTGAGAGGAAAAGAAGGTGGGTAAAACAAGCTTTAGTGGAATTTGGGCTTAATTGTGTTTTACTAGGAATATATATTATTTTATAAACATGAGTTTCATTTTGACATTTTCCAACATATACAAACTCTATCTCTTGTCTCCCTCTCCATTGTAACAGCTCCCACTTTCCCCCTACTTTACTGTTTCTACTTTCATGTTTCGTTTTAAGCTAGATTTTGTATGTGGGAGAAATATGCAGTACTTGTTTTTCTAAGTCTAGTTACTTTACTTAATATAGTTATCTCCAGGTCATTCATTTTTCTGCAAAGGTCATAATTCATTCTTCTTCATAGCTGAATAATACTCCGATGTGTATATATGCCACATTTTCATCCATTCATACTTTAATGTGTACCTAGACTGATGGCATAACCTGGCTATCTTGTGCAGTCAAGCAACGGGCATTGGTATATAGGCATCCCCAAGGTTTCATGTCATTAAAGCCATAAAAATGAAACCTGTCAACTGGAAACTTGGTGCAAGCTTTTGCCAGTCGAAACGCAGGAATTCTAGCACAATTATCAACTGCCTAAGGCCATCTCCTCCCCATCCATAATCCTGTGGATTTTCTAGGAGTCTCACCTGAAAGCCTACTGCAGGGAAGTTACATGGTACACTGCCCCTCTTTCAGCCCTAGTGAGTTCTGGTTTTTTGTTTTGTTTTGTTTTTTTGTAGCACATCTCTGGAGCCACCTCTCTTTTATCAAAGGAGGAAATAATGGAGGAGATCTTAATAACCTTTTGAGATGTAGCTCCAGTCACTAGTGGTGTGTGTGTGTGTGTGTGTGTGTGTGTGTGTGTGTGTAAGACAATTGCTCATTGCTCCCTTGAGGAGAATACACTCAGGAGCATCTTACTTTCCACTCTTTTTTGTGGGAAGTGCACACCAGATCTGGGCATGCATCATTTCTTATGAGCACATCTCCTTCTCACAGCCATAGTGCTTAAGCCTATATTAAAACTATCACTGGACAAGTTTTGGCTCTGCTTCACTATCTATTCTGGCTAGTCTTGAAATTCTCTTCTGTGTCAAAACCACGATTTGGCCCAAGTTGAGGTTCTTAAAAGTCTAGGAGAACACCTTGAGCTGGTGAGGGTGGCTCTGTGGAGCTGCCACCATTGACACCCTTTTATATACTAACTTCTACTCCTTCAAGTATATACCGATGAGTGGTTTAAGAAGATCATGATAATTCTAGTTTGTTTCCTGAGGACCCTCCATGATGAGTTCCATAGTGACTGTACTAGTTTACATTCTGTCAGAATATGTGGTTTTCTTTCTCCTACGTTCTTCTCCCACCCCAACTCTTGTCTTCTTGATGATGGTTCTGATTGAAATGAGACATCGCAGCACAGTTTTTATTTGAATTTCCTTTATGACTAAGAATGTTCGAACATTTAAAAAAATCTGTTCTTTGACCACTTATATGTCTTCCTGTGAGAACGATCTGAGGTAGGTGTGGTAATCAATGCTGGTGATAATCTCAACACTTGCGAGGCAGAGGACCAGAATGTCAAAGTCATAGCTTTACATGGAATGGAAGTCAGTCTCAAAAACAAAACAAAACAAGAAAGCACCAACAAAAGCTAGACCATCACCATACCTGAACTACACATCTGTAGAGACTCACCCTTAAAGACCACTTCTAGTAACTAAAGGTTGGAGATCAGCTGTTCAGACACAAGAACCTGTGAAGAAAATTCTGGACTCAAACCATAGCACTTTGCCCTGATCCTCAGAAGCTAACAACAGTCTCATAATGCAAAACTGATTCAGTCCTTACTGCCCCTGCCCAGAGAGCCAGAGCGATAGGCAAGGGTGTTTTCTACCTTCTCTAGGTAGCCTTTCTGCTTCTCCATGCTTTTCAGAGGCCCTATGCTCCTCTCTTTCTTCATGATATGGTCTGTGAAAGTCATACAGAGGAAGCTTCTAATCAGCCATATTACCCCAAAGTCAAGAGCCTTCCTTTAATATGGAAGGAAATTTAACTGAAGGGGGGAAAGAAATGAATATAGACACTGTAAGTTTATAGATAAGAAAGTGAAAGCACTTGAGACCTCAGTTTCTGTTAAGATGAAGGCTTCCTCTGACCCTTAGAGTTATCCTTTTATTCTCCCACTCAGTCCAGTCTGGCTGTTAAGTGGAAGAAAAGCCTTCCTTTTTTTTTCCAAGGGCAGGGGGCAGGGAGAGTGGGAGAATATTGCAAGCAAACACACACACACACACACACACACACACACACTTCACTAAGGGATGCAGTGGGACATGACAGAATGAACTTAGGCCTCTGAGATTCACACACATGGACTTCAGCCCGACTCATTCCACTCACGCTGCATTCTTGGGTGAGGCATGACCAGAGCCTCATTTTCCTGAGGTAATAAAACCACCTGGCAAGGGTTGTTGTGAAGATTAGAAGGAACACATTTGAATGTATCTGCAATCTCGGTTCCTTTCTTTACTCGTCTCTTAGCCCTCAGTTCATTGCAGTCTCCGAGTTTAAAGACAGGAGGTACCATAGGTTCCTATCTCTGGATAGTTCTCAGAAACGCCAAGAAGCACCAAACTCCCATTCTGATGGCTGACGTTAGAGTCTATAGACACCAAAACTATTTTTTCCTGCAATTAGGCATATTTCTTTTCTTGAGATAGACTGCTACATGTCCCCTCTGTGCCACTTCGTTTAACTTGGTCATTGGCCTTGCCTTCAATTCTACACGAGGATATTGAGCATGGCAATGAGGTTTATGTAGCATTTGCTGAGGACTTCAGACTGTTTTGTGATAAGAGAAGCTGCTGGGAAGTTGATCTTTAAAGAGGAAGTACTGCAGCTGTTGGAGGGGGCACAGATATTCCCCTTCTAGATGCTTCTCTGCTTATCCCTTGACCTGTGTGCACATGGCAGTCATCCGCTGACTTGCTCTAGTGGAAATGCCCTTGAGTATAGCCTGCCTCAGTGTCTCATATTCCAGAATGAGTCACAGGAGTGTTTGCTGAGTTGATCATAAGATCACACACACACACACACACACACACACACACACACACGTATATGTATATATGAACTTTCCCCAGTAATGGACCTGTGAGAGCTTAGTAATACCATCAAATAGTCTTGAACTGTTCCCCTTCCTCTTGAGATAAGCTGAGTGTCCTTCAAGCCACCTAAATTCTTGGCTTCTAATCTGTGACAAGTAATGTGAACAATACTTTACCTATCTGCCAGGAACATGTAATGACATTTAAAATCAGGAAAAGAGCACCTAAACACTAGAAACAAAGACAACCTTTTATGCTGTGACCGAGAACACCTGAAGCCAGCTTTGCAAACTGTTGTCCCAGCCAAAGGTGTCTGCCCCATGTGTGACAATGAACAATCTGCTGGGGTGTTCCTTCCTGTCTTTGGAGAGATCTTTTCTTGACTGAAGAGCCCATGTGATTTGTTTGTTCTGTGTTTATTCTCCTGTTTGGTCTCATTCTGGGGCACTTTGCCCCTACTGCAGCATTTTTCATACGTCCCTCTGTCTCAAGTCTTTCTTATTTTCTTTTCTCACTCCCTTCCTTTCATTTTGCTTTGCTTATTTAGTGTCTCTCTCTTTCTCCTTCCTTTCTCTCTCTCTCTCTCCTTCCTTTCTCTCTCTCTCTCTCTCTCTCTCTCTCTCTCTCTCTCTCTTTTAGAAAGGGTATCGTGTAGCTCAAAGCTGATTTCAAACACAATATATAACCAAGGCCAGTCTTGGACTCATGATCGACCTACTTCTGCCTTTAGAGCACTGGAATTACAACATGTAGGAACATGTGAGACTTTATTTGCTTACCATACATTGTTTAAATGATTCTTTTTTTCTGAGAAGACTTTTTTTTGGACCTTCCTCCACATTTAAATAAGAGCTTCTTGTAAGAATGCCAAATCACACCATTTCCTTTGCTTTCTCAATACTATCTCAATTATTACACTTCTCTCTCTGTATATTTCTGAGGTTGCTTATTCAACCACTCTCTGCTTTTCTAGGGTTACTTTCAGAGGCAGAGGACTGTGTTCCTTTCTCTCACTTCTAAGTCCCTAATGTTTAGCACACTGCCAGGCACATACTGGGTAATCAGCAAATGCCTGCTGAGTGGATAAATGGATGGATGGATAGATGGATGGATGGCTAGTCTGCCTAAAGACTGTTCAAGAAGAGACAAG